TTTGGCTCCAATCCAACAAAATTTAAGTCCAGGTCTAGCCTAGCCCAGCCTAGCATATATATAAATACATAGGAATTTCAAACAAACCCGATTTTACATACGAATGATTTTTACTTAAAAATCTAATTATATTATTTTTCATTCTACTAAAAAAAAATTAATTTTAATAATTTTAAATGTTTTCTTAATAACAAAACTATTGAGTGTAAAACACAAACTTTATTTCTTGGTGTTTACATCCAAGAAAATTTGAAGTGGACCAGTCACTATAGAACTACATTTCCAAAAAAATATCTAAAACTATTGGCATCATTAATAGGCTCAAGTTTACTTTTCCCGAACATATTCTACTTTCACTTTATAATACCGTTATTTTACCACATTTACAGTATTGCAATATTGTCTATGCTTCTGATTATCCTTCAAATTTAAATAAACTTGTTAAACTACAGAAATGTGCAGCCAGAATTATTATACCTACATCCTTCTGAACTCCATCTGAACCTTTATTCAAACGACTGAAAATTTTAAATTTATTTGATGGTCACAAGGCAATATTTATGTTTCGGTATTTAAAAAAAACGCTTCCTCTTCCTATGTTACAATTGTTAGACACATCTCAGAAAACCCATTCATATAATATTAGAAATGCATCTGTCCCAGTTCCCTTCGTCAGACTCGGAAAAAGTCAATTATTTGTTTCTGTTGCTGGTCCTAATTTATGGAATGATCTCGATGTTAAATTAAAAGTTCAGTTTCTTTATCTGTCTTTAAAAGTAAAATTTAAAAAGAATACTTATCATTGTACGATCAGTAAAATAATAATGGTAGTTCCTTAAGTTCATCTCACAGTTTTATTTATTTACTTATTTATTAATTTATTTTAATTTTATTTTTATTTATTTTCTATTATTTTATTTATTTATTTATTTTTTTTTTGGGGGGGGGGCTCATGACAAGACAAGTTTTTGACTTCTAGTCATGATCCCAATGATGGTGGTTTATTATTTGTATTGTATTGTATACTATTATTATTTCCATTATTGAATAAATGACAAATTAAGAGATGCTTACTATATAATTTCAAAACAAAATTTAATGACAAGAAAGATCGACGTTTCGGGTCCATCATGGAACCATTCTCAAGATCAAGTGCAGTAAATTGAAAAAACTAAAAACAAAAAACTAAAAACAAAAAAATACCAAGCAGTGACAGGAAGTAAGTAATTAATTTGCATATCAATAGGGCCTACTGTGTGGAGTATGTCGACAATAACCGGATGTGAACCAAGTTTTTGTGGAGCTAAGCAATAATTAGCCATTCTTAGCAGATTAACTAGATAAACAGTTTGGCTTTGACTGAATCAGTTTGTTTAAAAACTGTGAGGCATTCCAAGATCCAAAGCATTTCTTTAAATAAACAATTAAACTTGGA